GGGACCCCTGTCCCGGCTGCCACCAGAGGGCTCCCCAAAGGCCAAAAAGCTCCTGTAGCCAGCCTCCAGGGTCCTGGCTTCTGCCCTGGGCACGGCTGGCTCCTCTCTCGAAGACTGACATGGGTGAGGATGGGTCTCCAGCATATTTCACATCTCTGCAGATCTGACGGAAATCCCTGGAGGAGCAAAGTCATCTGCCAAAGACGTCTTAAGCCCAAGAAAGGAAGTTAGAAAGCACAGTTTGGAGTCCAGCAGCCCCGGGTCTGACCCTCAAGTCTGTCCCTGTTACCAGTTCAGGGACCCTCATAGAGTAACTCGGCCACTCTGAACCCGGTAGTCCTCATCATCAAGTAGAGATGACGCTGATGAGATGCTGGGCAAGTCACTGCTCACGTGGGGCCCCAGCATCTTCAAGGTAGGCTACAGACATGAGTCTGGTGGGCTACAGTCCATGGGGTCACAAAGAGTCAGACACAACTGAGCGACTAAGCACCTGGTGGCTATCTTGATGGCTCAGACAGTAAAGAATCTGCCTGCAATGCAGGAGACCTAGGTTCAATAACTGGGTCAGGAAGATCCCCTGGAGAAGGGAAAGGCTACCCACTCCAGTATTCTTGCCTGGAGAATTCTATGGACAGAGGAGCCTGGTGGGCTACAGTCCAAGGGGTCACAAAAATATCAGACACGACTGAGCGACTAACAACATAGATATTATGTACATGTGTGCAGGTGACTGTTAATAATACACCCAAGGTACCTCCATCTCACAAAGCAGTTTCCTTCAAACTTCTCATGCGCCAACTCTTTTCTGCCAGCTTCTTTTTTTTTCCATTAATTTTTATTAGTTGGAGACTAATTACAATATTGTAGTGGTTTTTGTCATACACTGACATGCATCAGCCATGGATTTACATGTATTCCCCATCTGGATCCCCCCTCCCACCTCTCTCTCCACCCGATCCCTCTGGGTCTTCCCAGTGCACCAGGCCTGAGCATTTGTCTCATGCATCCAGCCTGAGCTGGTGATCTATTTCACCCTAGATAATACACATGTTTCAGTGCTGTTCTCTTGAAACATCACACCCTCACCTTCTCCCACAGAGTCCTAAAGTCTGTTCTGTACATCTGTGTCTCTTTTTCTGTTTTGCATAGAGGGTTACCGTTACCATCTTTTTAAATTCCATATATATGTTTTAGTATACTGTATTGGTCTTTATCTTTCTGGCTTACTTCACTCTGTATAATGGGCTCCAGTTTCATCCATCTCATTAGAACTGATTCAAATGA